CACGTGCATAAACTTCCAGCTCAGCCTGTTGGGTTTACTCTGATAAATCATGTTGTAATATAAAAAGACTGATGGTACCGCCTAAGAATCTAAGCAAAACAGATACTCCCAAAAGCCAGGCCCTCATACCCTGGAACCCCTGCCCCTGGCCTGGGTCTCCCGGTCTGAGTTGGAATAGGACTACCCCCCCACCCCACGCTCCCCACGCTTGGCTGCCAGTTGGTCACACTGCGGTGGCTCGTGTGCTGCTGTGCTGCTGTAAGCTGTGTCCCTGGGATTTCAAGTGCCAGCAGGGTCACCCAAGGTGAACCGGTGACAGCGGGACAATCTGCTCAAGCACAGGAACACTTGTGAGGACGGCACGGGACCGGGCGGGGTTTCTTCGTGTTGTGCGTAGGGTGGCTTTGGGTCGAACGACTCGATGGCAGCAGCCCCCAGACTCACGTTCTGAGGCCGCCCCCTTCCTCCAGGTGGTTCTTCAAGGGCATCAGCCGCAAGGACGCAGAGCGTCACCTCTTGGCCCCCGGCAATGTGCTGGGCTCCTTCATGATCCGGGACAGTGAGACCACCAAAGGTAGCATCTCCCCTCCCCACCCTGGCCCTCGGTGACCTCAGGGGGTCAAGTGCTGGCAGGAGTGAATGGGGCAGGTCTCTCAGGTCTCCTGCTTTGTGGGGGTTCTCTCTGGTCAATGCAGGCAGCTACTCTTTGTCTGTGCGTGACTACGACGCGCAGCATGGGGACGCGGTGAAGCATTACAAGATCCGGACCCTGGACAGCGGGGGCTTCTACATCTCCCCACGGAGCACCTTCAGCACCCTGCAGGAGTTGGTGGCCCACTACAAGAGTGAGTCCTGCGCCCAGGCTGCAGCCTCCCTGGGTGGAGCTTGTCTCCAGGGAATCCTCCTCAGGAGGGCATGGGGCTGGGGAGCCATTCCGCAAACACATGGGGGCTGCAGAGCCTCCTCACAGAGGGTGGGGGTGGGAGAGGGGTGCAGCTGGTTTCCCAGCATGCTCTGCTCTCTGTGGAGTATCACTGATGCTGGCAACCAGTTGGAACGTTGGCCCCATGCAGTGGACCAGGTGGGGAGGCTTCCTCCAAGGGGATGCCTGGCTGGCAGGGAGCTGGTCCCCCCCGCCCCCCACCCGACTGACCAGGGGCTCTATTTCAGAGGGGAAGGATGGGCTCTGCCAGAAGCTGACAGTGCCCTGCATGTCCTCCAAGCCCCAGAAGCCATGGGAGAAAGATGCCTGGGAAATCCCTCGGGACTCCCTCAAGATGGAGAAGAAGCTTGGAGCCGGGCAGTTTGGGGAAGTCTGGATGGGTAAGGCACAGGGGTGGAAGAAGGGGAGGCAAACCCTTGTCACTTCTTCCAGGAGGGCTCCGGAGCAGCCTGGGGGTGAAGAGGACGCTACAGGGCAGAGGGAGCGATTGGAATGACTAAAGATCCCCCCAACCAAACACCATCATCAAGTCAATGCTGACTCAGAGAGACCCTATAGGACAAAGTAGAGCTGCCCCCTGTGAGCTTCGGAGACTGTAACACGACGGGGGGTAGAAAGACAGCCCAGTCTTCCTCCCACGGAGTGCCTGGAGGTTATGAACTGTTGACCTTGCAGTTAGTGGCCCAGCACATAACAACCACTACACCACCAGGGCTCCTTTGAATAATGCCCATAAAGTAGTCATTCCTCTGATAGCAAACCAAATGGTTGTGCTCATGCAAACCCTGGTCTGCCTTTGAGACCCTACCTCTCAGGGTCAAGAACTCCCTTTGGCGAAGCAGGAGTCTGGATGGGGATTGCCCTCCCTCCGAGTGGCTTGGGAGTGAGGTTAACAGCGGCCTCTTGAGATGATGGAAGTGAGGAAATACAGCTTGAGGAAATACAGATTTCTGGGGAAGTTTCATATAGGCAGCCACAGAGCAGGCCATTCGGAGCACCTACTGTGTGCCCAGCCCTGTACTGAGGCATTGTGGGATGCCAGAAAGGCACGTTCCAGCCCGGCCACCCTTCCCGAAGTATCTAGAGAGCAGCCATGCTGCTGTGCAGGTTATGGGGTAGAGGCTTGGCCCGATGCCTGGTGTACCCCACTGTGTTCCAAGTGGGGGTGAAGACAGTTCGAAAACCCAAACCCAAACTCCCTGCCATCGAGTCAATGGTGACTCATAGTGACCTTGTAAGACAAGGTAGGACTGCCCCTGTGAGTTTCCAAGACTAGAAAAGACTCTTTATGGGAGGAGAAAGCCTTGTTCTTCTCCCAAGGAGAGGCTGGTGGTTTCAAACTGCTGACCTTTTAGATCGCATGCCAACGTGTAACCACTATGTCACCAGTGCTCCCGAAGGCAGCTCACAGACACATGCAATACAGCCAGATACAGTGGGCTTAACATCCCTGCATTTCAGCTCCATTTACTGAGAGCTGCTATGAGGCAAGCACTGAGGAGGACCATGTGGTGGAAGAGAAACTATGGGAAGGGAAGGCAGATTTGTGTGGTGGGACTGGATGAGCAATTAATATTGTATAAAACCCTAGACTCTTACTAAGGAGTCTTGGTGGTGTGGTGGTTCTGCATCAGACTGCAGCCCGAGAGGTCAGCAGTTCAAAACCACCAGGCGCTCCTCGAAAGAAAGACAGGGTTTTCCTCTCCTGTGAAGAGTTACAGCCTCGGAAACCCACAGGAGCCGTTCTACCCTGTCCTAGAGGGTTACTATGAGTCGGCACCAACTCGCTGCAGGGAGAGGAGAGGAGACTCTTTCTAGAGGAGTGCAATTCTCGAGTTGAGCTTCCTGGCAACGACAGCAAAGATGGAGGTTTATAGAATGCACAAGCCGAAGCCATGGTGGGGTGGGGCTAGGGAATCACTTAATAAGAAAGGCCCATGATGGGAGAGGGAGTTTCGGGTTTAAGAAGCTGAGTGATGGGTGCGTAAAAGACAAGGAGTTTGGTGGAGAAGGAGACTGAAGAGGTAGCTGGTCCAGATCATGCAAGGCCTTATGGGCCATGGTGACTCTGGAACTTATTTCAAGAGCAACTGTTAAGATTGTGGCATTTTAAGTGAAAGTGATTGTGTGTGAGTGTGTGTGTGTGTGTGTGAGTGTGTGTGTGTGTGTGTGTGATAATTTGAGTTGTGTTTTCGGAGACTCTGCTCATCCTTGGGACAACCCTTCAAAGGGAATGTTTACATTCCCACTTTGCAGATGAGGAAAGTGAGGCGCAGAGAGGTTAAGCGGTGTCCTCAAGGCCGTGAATCAGGCTTCCAGCCCACATTCTGTGGTTCTCAAAGGGCTGAGCTGGGCCTTTCCCCCAGCCTGCAGCTGGGCCTTCCAGGGCTAGGAGGGGAGACCAGAGGGTTCTGAGAACAAACCCCCCCGCCCCCCGCTCCCCTCCACCCAGCCACCTACAACAAGCACACCAAGGTGGCCGTGAAGACGATGAAGCCGGGGAGCATGTCCGTGGAGGCCTTCCTGGCCGAGGCCAACCTGATGAAGACCCTGCAGCACGACAAGCTGGTGAAGCTGCACGCCGTGGTGACCCAGGAGCCCATCTACATCATCACGGAGTTCATGGCCAAAGGTGTGTGCTGGGGGCAGGGGGGTGGCGGTGCCGGGGGGCAGCAGGCTGGGGTCCCCCCACCCAGTCCAGCTGGGGCTCAAAGGTAGACCTGGCTATTGCCCTCAAGATGCCCTCAGCCTAGCCCAGGAGTTCCATCAAGAAACACACGTGAGCACAAGAAGGTGCCGCTGCCCAGCCTGCCTGGCTAACAGGGTGAAATTGTGCTAAGGCGGGGACCCGAGGCAGGGGGAAACACAAGGGCCCCCAGAGCACCAAGGAGGCTTATGGGATGGATCCCTGGGAGCCTGGAGAGCACAGGGTGACCCTGTCCCTCACCATCTAGTGCCTGCCCTGCCTGCGCCTCCACGCCCTGAGGAAGACACTCGGACAATACACGACTCCAGGTCCCCACTGCCCCTTCCCTGCATGACCTTCTCAGGGATTTTGATCTTGTTAGGCCACCGCTTCAAAGGCATTTCCCCAGCCCTGCCCAGCCAAGGGTGAACAGCAGCAACTCACACGGCTCTCTGAGGGTGACTTGCACTCCCAACGTGTTTTGCTTTTCTTCCCGGTCACTTTCTAAATACGCAATGATAGCAGCTGCATAAAGCGAGGGTCCCCGCCATTCAAGTTCAAGGGAGAGAAAAGGAAAGAAAAACTGTCAGTTGAAGAACCAGTCCAGCACCCAGTCAGGCCCAAACCACGCAAAATTCTATTCCTCAAATATTGACCGATAAACACCCCCCGGGGGTCTCCAAATATCCAAGGAAAGAGTCCATTGCTTTGAATTCCTTCTTTCCACGAACTTTTTGATGCCCCATGTTAGCTTGTGTTGATTGAAATCTATGGCAGTGAACAATTTCAACTTTCAACCACAGCCTAAGGGACCCTAAGGCACATAATGTTCTTTCTGGCCCCCGACAGGAAGCCTGCTGGACTTCTTGAAGAGCGACGAAGGCGGCAAGCAGCCCTTGCCCAAGCTCATTGACTTCTCAGCCCAGGTGAGTCTAGTGGGCTGGGGCTGGTGGGGAAAGGGGGGGTGGGGGGGGTGGTGGGCAGAAATGTCTTTGTCTCTTTATTGAACACGCACTGTAATGGCAACAGTCAACACAGCCGATGTTTGTTCAGTGCCCAACATGGCCCACCTGTTTTGAATGCACTATACACGCTCTGACCTCGGACCCCCCAGAAGGTGTGCACTCAACTACCAGCCACAAGAGGAGCCCGGTGGCACAGTGGGCTAGGCATTGCACAGTAAACCACAAAGTCAGCTGTTCAAAACCAACAGCCGCTCCAAGGGAGAAAGATGAGGCTTTCTCCTCTCATCAACAGTTACAGTCTTGAAAACCCACAGGGCCAGTACTACATTGTCCTACCGGATCGCTATGAGTCAGAATTGACTCAGTGACAGTGAGTCTGGTTCTTGGTTTACTAGCCTCAAGGTGGGTGGCTTGAACCGAGCCAGCTGTGCTGTGGAGGAACGGCTAGGCAACCTGCTTCCATGGACATTGTAGCCCTGAAACCCCCTGCAGCAGTTCTTCTGTGTCACTCATCATTGGGCCGTCATGAGGTCACCTTGTGTGGGCATCAAGTTGATGGCAACGGGTTTGATTTCTGTTCCGGTGGCATAGACTCACCCCTTTCACCCTCGCATCAGCCCTATGAGGGAGGAGTGCTGTGAGCTATTCTTGCTAACAACACCCCCCCACCCAATTGAAGACAACAGCAATTGGTTATTTCTCGTGCTTCCTTGGGTTGCCTGGGCTTAGCTCGGGGTCCTTCTGCCCCAGCAGAGATGCTGGGATGGCCCATGCAGATGCATGCCAGACAACTCTTGGCTGCCCCGGGGTCTCTCTCTCCTCGAGACCTTTCAGCTTGTGGGAGTCTGACCATAGCTCCTTCCAGCATGGCCATGGCTTCCAAGCAAAAGTATCCCTCCAGGCCTGCGGTTATCAACCTGTGGGTCGAGACCCCTTTGGGGGTTGAATGACCCTTTCACAGGGGTCAACCAATTCATAACAATAGCAAAATGACAGTGATGAAGTAGCAACGACAATAATGTTATGGTTGGGGGGTCAGCACCACATGAGGAAGTGTATGAAAGGGTCAAGGCATGCTCCAGGCCAAGGTCTAGTACACAAGCGCTCCTCACGCCACTGCTTGCAGCACACTAGCTGCTTTGGCCAAAGCCCTCCCGTGGCCAAACCCAGAGTCAGTGGGGAAGGGCACCAACCCCAGGAGGCATGGTTCATTGGGGGCCCCCCCGAGAGTAGATGACGAACATCTCATCATATCAAACAGGAAATTAAGGGGTGGGGAAGTTGAGTAGAGATGAGGAAAGAGGGTCGCAGGAAGGTTAAACAAGTTTGTCTACGTGACTGTCATGGTTACAGGGGAGACAAGAGTTGTCACAAATGTTCCTTCCTGGGAACTGATCGTCCAGATAGGAAAATAGATGTCGAATGGCTGGCTTGGTTCTGGTCCAGAGAGCACAGTGCACAGTCCAGTCGTGTCCATGCGCCACAGAAACAGGTCTTAACCCCCTGATTTTCTCGCCTTCTTCCCCTCTGCCCCGGCAGCAGCTCCCCATCAGCGGGAGTCTCTGTCACTCCTGGCCTGTCTCCATCTCTGTCTGAAAACCGGGGAGGGGTGGGGGGAGGGAAGTGGCGAAATGCTTTGCCTGATCCAGGAGCAACGAGAGGAGCCTGGGTGGCCTAGTAGGTTACACATTGGGCTGCTAACAGCAAGGTGGGTAGTTTGAATCCACTAACCACTCCTATGGAGAAAGATGAGGCTTTCTGTGCTTTCAAAGACGTGAGGTCTTAGAAACCCACAGGGGCAGTTCTGCTTTGAGCTATAGCGTTCTCCCCTGTCCTATAGGGTTGCTATTGGCCCGAATCAGAATCAACTTGATGGCAGTAAAAAGACTTCAGAGAAATGGGTGTTTTTGACAGAAGGACCAGCCCATGGGAAAGCCCAAAGGGGAATGCATGGCTTGTTCAGCTTGGACCTCCTTGGATGCCCTGGGAGGAGGAGATGTGGTTTGCAGCCTGGTGGGAGTTGAAGGAGCTCTGGGCCTTCAGGAGACACCCAGGGCAGAGCTCATTTGGCTATGCAAACTTTGGGGCACAAGGGCAACCACCAGGGGAGAATAAAAAGTGTTCCTTTCAGAGCCTGGAATTGGAGGTGACGGGTGGAGTGGTATAGAAATCAACAACTGGCAATTTCCCTCCAATGGACCCTGCTTCCAGGGAAATAGAGTCTGGCAGAACCCGTGGATAGGGGTCACGGACTGGGACCAGAGTTACTGCCTCTATCTCATCAAGGAGAAAACAGAAACCAAGGGGGAGAAAGAAGTGCTGGGCCTCTGAGCATCAGCAACAGAGGGGGCCTCAACCAAGGACGGCAGATACCTACCTGGGCACCATCTTTGCCTCCAGTCTCAGAGAGGGAGATTGACGTAGTGGGAGGGTGCCCCAGCCCAGTCAGGATGACTTGCATGTATGACCTCTGACCCCACTGTAGGGCTGTCTCCCTTGATGTCATGTGAGGTCACTGGGCCACATCTCAGGTTTTTCAAATCAGAAAGCTTGTTTTAGACGCTACTCCACTGGCAGGCCCGCATGAACTCATGTGCAGTCACTGAGTGTGAAAAAATCGGTCCAAACAGCTGCTCTGATTAGAGGAAGATGGTGGAGCCTCACGTGTGGCCTTTGTTCCGTCTCCACTCCTCCAGCCCAGCGGCATAAGTCAGAAGGTTTTAGGTCAAATAGCCCTGGGCTGGAATATGCCTACAGACCCTCTCCGCTGAGATGCTGTGATCCCAGGTAGTCTTAGAGACATCATGGTGGCCTGCTTGGTGGTCATGAAGTCTCACCACCTTGTCAACCCCCAAATCTTAGACCAATCCTGCACTGACTGGACCAACCCACTGCAGACTGATGAAGCAACACTTGTAGACGTTTGGGGCTCAGGAATCACAGAGCGTCTTTGCGTTTTATCTCGGATTTGTTTGTGGGACTTTGAGCAAGTTGCTTGACCTCTCAGGGTCCAGCTTTCCTCAACAAGGGAGAGCTCATTGACATGAAATGTACTCCACATCAGATATCCTTGTAAGCCTGAGACAAAAGGTCAGAGGATGAAGCAGATGACCCCTCGCGGGCAGGGACTATGGTTGGCCCCATTTTACAGATAATAAAAGTAAGGCACAAAGTAGTTTGCTTGTGATCACAGAAGTATATGGGGTTCCAACTGAGCTGTCCCAACTCCAGAGCCACTTAGTCATGACCTTCTACTGCCCTAGTCAAGTCAACGTTAGTAAGCTCCTGTGAAAGTCAGTGAGCTCGTGTATGATTGTCTGCTGGGGGAGAGGTTACTAAATCCATGGTGACTGCCAACAGGAGTGACTCTCCGTGCAAACACAAGGCCCTACGTTCCCGTGGAGTAATGAGTTAGTGCATGAACTAGAACTGGGCCATCAGAATTCCAATCAGCTCGCTACCACTTGCAAGCTATGTAAGCCTGGACCATTGCGTCTCTCTGGGTTTCAGTTGTGAAATAGGACTGATGACAATAGTTGTTGATGTTGTGTGCCATTGAGTTGATTTCCTATTCATAGACCCTCTAGGACAAAGGGATAGGTTTTTCTAGGTGGTGAAGTGGTTACTCATTAGACTGCAATCCACAAGGTTGGCAGTTCAAAAACACCAGCAGCTCTGAGGGAGAAACATGGGCTTTCTCCTCCTGTAAACAGGTCTAGTCTCAGAAACTCACAAGGACACTTTTACCCTGTCTTATGAGTCGCATCAACTCGATGGCAGTGAGGGTCTTTTTTAGTCATGTATAAAGGGTGTCCATCAGAGTTGTATCTTACGCTTCTCTCCACATTCATTCAATCTGCGTGCAGAGCAAATAGTCTGACGCTATGAAGGAGAACAGGGCATCAGGATTGAAGGAAGGCTCGTTTAACAACCTGAAATTGGCAGGTGACACAACCCTGTTTGCTGAAAGTCAAGAGGTCTTGAAGCACCTTCATCATTATCTTAATAATAAAGATCAAGGATGACAGTTGGGATTGATTATACCTCACGGTAAAGAAAATAACAATCCTCACTTTGGACCAGTGAGCATGATAAATGCAGAAAACCCTGAAGCTGTCAAGGATTTAATTGTTCTTGATCCGCAGTCAGCATCCCTGGGATGAGCAGCCAAGAAATCAAACAACGCGTTGCATTTGGCAAATCTGCTGGAAAAGACCCCTTGAAAGGGTTCCAAAGCAAAGAGGTCACTTTGAGGATGAAAGCTCACCTGACCTGGGTTACGGCATTTTCAAGGGCCCACAGGCATGTGAAGGCTAGACACTGGGTACAGAATGCTGAAAACACGGGTGCCTGAATTGGCAAAGAACATTGACTGCCACGGGCTTCCAGAACAGACAGATCTGTCTTGGTGGAGGTCTGGCCAGACTGCTGCTCAGAAGAGCAGTAGCAAGACATTTTCTCGCCTACTTTGAACATGCTATTGGAGAAGAATGGGAATTTTAGAACCCTTCATTGCGCTCATGAGGAATGTCCAAGAAGAGGTCATTCGAACAGAATAAGGCAATACTGTGTGGTTGAAAATCAGGAAAGGTGTATGTAAAGGTTGTAGCCTTTTACCATATTTATTCAATTTCTATGCTATGCAAAAAAAATTAGAGACATTGGACTATATGAAGAACACAGCAGGATTAGAGGAAGGCCGATAAACAACCTGGGAAATGCAGATGGCACCACCTTGCTTGGAGACCGCAAGGAGGACTTGAAGCACTTACTGAGGAAACTCAAGGGCTCCAGGCTTCATTAAACTCAGTGAAAACAGATCAAAACCCTCACCACTGGTCCCGTGTGCACTGTCATGATGGATGAAGGGAAAAAAGGGGATTTCATTGATCTTGCATCCACAATCAATGCTCATCGAAGCAGCTGTCAAAGAGTCAAAGGACAGGTTGCACTGGGCAAATCTGCTGCACAAGACTTCTTTAAAGTGTGGGGTAGGAAGGATGCCACTTTGAGAACTTAGGTGCGCCTGCCCCAAGCGAGGCTACTTTCATTTACCGCATGTGCATATGAATGTTGAACAATGGCTAAGAAAGACCCCAGGGGCACCTGTGCTTTTGAATGAGGGTGCTGACCAGAAAGATTGGAAGCACCGTGGACTGCCAGAAGAATCAACCAATCTGATCCGAAGGAAATGCAACTAGCATGCATCTTAGACGCACGACGTCTTGTGTACTTTGGACAGGTTATCAGGAGGGACCCATCCCTCAGTGAGATGGATTGGCCCTCGGCTGTACCTTGGGGCTCAAACATGAGGATGGGGCAGGGCCAGGGAGGGCTTGATTCTGTTGGTCCACACAACTGCGCTGAGTCAGCACCAGCTCGACGGCACCGAACCACATCAAAGGCACCAGCCCCTGAAGACAGACCTCATGCTTGGTGAAGGAGAGGGTCAGCGAAAAAGAGACAGAGCCCGAGTGAGGCAGACTGGACACCGTGCCTGCCACTGGCCTCAAACACCGCCCTTGTGAGGAGGGTACGCGATGGGGTGGTGATTTGTTCCGCCGTCTTAGGGTTGCTGGTGAGTCCCCAGGCAACTTTCACGGAGCAAATTGCCACGTCTTTTCCGCATGGAATGGGCTGAGGAGTTTGGACTGCTGGGCTTCCGCTTAACAGCTGAGCATTTAACCACTGTGCCACCAGGGCTCTTTGATGACAATGATCCTTTCCAGAGCACACAGTCAATGTGTCCAAGTGTCATCTGGTAGTAGGTGAATACACTATAGCATGCGTTCTGACTCTGAGCTACCAGCCACTGCTTCTCTCAGGACTCAGTAAGTTTCCCCCATCCCCAAGCTAAGACCTTATCTTACGCCACAGCCTGTCCCCCTGACCCAAAGGAAACCAGAAAAACCCTTTCACTTTTTTTGTAGGAGAGGCTAGCTAGCGCTTAGGACTTCAGTTCCAGCAGCTGCTGGTGCCCCCGCCTGGCTGCTCCTTGCAAACACACCACCCATTCACTTTGGGCTTTGAGCCAGCTGGATTCTCTCTCCCTCTCTCACCAGATTTCAACCAGCCCCAGGCCTCCCAAGCGCTGCCCCTCTGATCTCTGGCTCGCTAAGAGGCAGCCTAGGGCTCATTTGGAACTCGCAGAGGTTGGAGCCTGGCTTTCAGCATTTTCTTGGTGGTTCCCTCTCTATAAAGCAGGGATGGTGAAGGCACTGAGTCAAGGATCCCACTTGCAAACTGAATGAACCGTGTTTTCTGGGTCTCTGAGGGTCAATCTGAAAACCTCTTTTGTCCAAACCTTTGTTCATGAGAACCCCTTGAAGGCTCAACCCCAAGTCTCATGCGTCTCCGAGAGCCCTGTTGTGAGCAAGCAGCCAGCTTCCACCACTGCAGATAGCCCCATGTCAAGGCAGATAGCACATTGCACTGCTAACTGTTCAAAACCACCAGCCACTCCGCTGGAGGAAGATGAGGCTTCCTATGCTGTGAAGATTTAGTCCCAAAACCCCACAGGGGGCAGTTCTACTGTACTGTCCTATCTCTGAGTCAGAGCGACCCAATGGTACTGACACAGCCTGCTGTCCCACTCGGCAGCCACGATGATCTTCAAATACACATCAGACCATGCCACATTCCAGCTCAACACCTTCGATACCCCTCCATTATGCTCAGGATAAAATGTAGCCTCCTCTCCGGGCCTGCAAGACCCTGTGCTTGTTCCTGCCCTGCGAGACTCCGCCCCCACTCCCTGCCATCCTCTATTCAGCCACTCTGGACTTCCTGTGGTCTGTGATCACCCACAGTCCTTCCCAGCACCAGGTCTCTGCACTCAATGTTATCTCTGCCTTGTGGCATTATGGTCACTTTAATCTTTATTTTAAAATATCACCTGCTCTAAGGTCTTTGAACACTCAGTCCACCAAGAGCCCGCTCTACCCCATGTCCCTTTACTCTGCCTCATTCTCCCCTTTCCAGTGCTTAGCAACACCGGTAGGGTCTGCCTGGCTCGCTGCTTCAACACCTGTTCAAGTAACATGTCCCATACCCACAATACACTCAGGATTGATGCGTTGAGCGAGTGGATGAATTTTCCCTCCCCGACTTGGGGGTGAAAAAGTATGAGTTACAGTAGAATATGACATGAGCCGCCGGTGTCTCTGGAAGGGGGCTTTGGAGATGAGAGCTTTTCAGAGTATCCTGGTTTAGGATCTGTGTGGGAGAGAGGGAGGTGAGGTGCTACTTCTTCTCCTAAGGCCTAGAGAAATTCTCCCACCGCTTCCTTGAGAACCTTTCAATGTGCTGAGAGTCTTGGAACTGCAAACTGGCCCCAGACCCTGAGACTCTTCCCCACCATACCGCCAGGATGGGGAGACAAATAAATTCATTAATTAAACTCTAGCTTGAGTTCAGGGCCCAACTGAGAGCAAAAGGGGCAGGTGGCACATCCATTGTCCAATCTTCTTGCATGTGGGTGCTCCTCTTCTGCCTTTGGGGGTGGGGTGGAGGGCTGGGCAGAGGCTGACTCTGTGGTCTCTGTGTCGGGGGCAGATTGCCGAAGGCATGGCGTTCATCGAGCAAAGGAACTACATTCACCGAGACCTTCGAGCCGCCAACATCTTGGTCTCCGCATCCCTGGTGTGTAAGATCGCTGACTTCGGCCTGGCTCGGATCATTGAGGACAATGAGTACACAGCTCGCGAAGGTAAGGAGTGGGCCAAGGGCCGGGGGGAGACTTGGAAGGACTGTGCTTGTTGAGAGTTAATGTCTATAGTCAGTAGAAGGCCCCAGGATTCGCTGGGTATCATTAAAAGTGAGGGGGGTCCTTCTGGGTATTGGGTCCTGCACTGAAGATGCTCCCCCAGTGGCGGGCATCTAGAGAGGGATTTCAGAGCAAGGAAGGACCTACTGGTTCATTACAGCCTTAGGCAAGCCAGGAGCAGAACAACTTTATGCCTTGACATCTAAATCTGGGACAAATCCCAATGCCAGTCATCTGTACGTAGAGTGACTATATGACACTGTGTTTTATGGGGCAAGAGAGTTTGACACTATGCAGCAGTGCCGCATACAAATGATTGCCACTCGCAACATCGCAAGCCACCCTCGCAGATGTAACATCAAAACGAAAGCCAGGAGACCCAAAGAGCTCTAGTTCTAGATGGTTCCATTTCTACGCAACCCAAAGAGGGTAAACCATATACGTGAACATTCAAAGTATTATGCACAATAGCCCCCAGTAAAAACCGCTCAGATGTCCATTTGCTGAGGAATGGATAAACACAACGGGGGGTACGTCCACTCAATGGGACATTGTTCGGGCAGATAAAGAAATGGAGTTCTGCTGCGTGCTACAGCGAGGATGAGTCTTGGAAGCAGGGTGTGAGGAGAAAGGAGGTGCTCGTGAGTTGCTACGTTGTATGATTGCATTCGCACGCTAGGTTCAGACCTGGCACATCTTGTAGATAAAAACAGACGTAGTAGTGGAGTGCTCACCAGCTAGCCAAAAGGTTTGGACCCACCAGATGTCCCCCGGGAGAAAGACGTGGCCATCCTCTTCCACAAAGATGGACAGCCTTGGAACTCCGGAGGGACAGTTCTGTTCTGTCCTGTAGGGCCACTGTGAGCTGGCACCCACAGCACGGTCTCTATGGAGCTAGAAAGTAGATGTGTGCTTTCCAGGGGCATTAGGGGTGGGAAAGAAATGGAGTGGTTTTTCCCTTGTGACTTAGGACAGTATTCTCTGCCCACTCCATCCCACGTCAGCTGTCACCAAGTTGGGTGTGTGTTGGCTCCTCAGGGATACCAGACGGTGGGAAAGATTGGTTCAGCAGAGGGAAGATTTGGGCAGCTGTTGCCCTTGTTTGATCCCCTCAATCTAGTCTGAGCACTCCCCAGACTCCCCTTGATTTGGATCTGTCCAACCCGCAGGGGCCAAGTTCCCCATCAAGTGGACAGCTCCTGAAGCCATCAATTTTGGCTCCTTCACCATCAAGTCAGACGTTTGGTCCTTTGGCGTCCTGCTGATGGAGATTGTCACCTATGGCAGGATCCCTTATCCAGGTAAAGGGGGGGGCATCAGCTTGGGGGTGCTTCCAGGGCCCCCCTCTTGTCATCCAAGCTAAATTCTTGATCTTCCCTCACACAGTTAAAGATGAGCGTTTCACCCATTCGCTTGCTTACGCCGGAAACCTCGGCCCTTCCCATCTCATCCCTACATCCAAACTCTCACCCAGTTCTGGCCTCCTGACTCCAAAACATACTCCAGATCGGCTCACTTCTAACTTCCCCGCACCCGCCATATCTGAGCCAGCATCTCTTTCACTTGGCTGTTGAGTGGCCTCCAAACACCTCCCATCTTCTTGCCTGTCTCCTCTCATCTGGGTGTTCTCCACAAGCAGCCCAGCTCCCAAAGCCCATCTTGCCTCCTTTCCACCTCTAGCTAACTCCCTAGTGACCTCACGTTACAATTAGGATAGTGTCCCAGATTCCTAATCCTGGCCTTCCATCCTTTGGGGTCTAGCACCTGCTAACCTCTCCATGCTGTACTCTATCTCCCAACCAGATAAGAGTCCCATACAGCTCCCCAGTTAGTCTATCAAAATAGCCTATCACGTTTTATTCATAGCATTTGGCACTATTGTTAGCTCTGTACTTATGGTATCTACTTAATATCTTTACCATCAAACTCTGAGCTCTTTGAGACCCAAGAGCCCTCTGGATTCCTCACCAGGGTACCCACATTGCCTACCTCTGGCACGTAGTGGGTGCTTGGTAACTATTTGTCGGATGGACTCATTTACCCACATGCCTGTGGGCTGCCCCCTATACTGAATCCATCGTAGAGGGTATACACAGATGGGGGTGCGGTGGGTTATGCCGCAGGCTGATCACCCAGAAGCCAGTAGTGCACTCACCAGCCATCCTGTGAGAGAAACACGAGGGTGCCCTGTTACATGTTGGGCTGTGATCCACAAGGTCAGCAGTTTGAGACCACCAGCCGCTCCAGGGAAGAAAGATGAGACTTTCTACCTCCAGAGAGCAAACGGTCGCGGTAATCCATAGGGCCCACTGTACCCTGTCCTATAGCATTACCACGAGCCGGAATGCACTGAGTTTGGGTTTGATTGTTTGGCATCCATCAAGATGTAGTCTCAGAAACCCAGTTCTCCGCCGGATAGGGCTGCTGTCAGTTGGAACTGGCTTGATGGCAGGGGGTTGGTTTTCTGGTTTTATACAAAGACACGCCAACTAGTAGAGAGACATTGAGACTCAATAGCTCATGTCTACAGTCCCTTTGTGAGCGGCCTGTTTTAGGTGGTGGTGAGGGGAGGGAGGTTGATTTTGAGTTGGGATGTCTGCTGCCAGTGTACTGGGGAGAGGCAAGGCCCAGGAAGAAGTCCTTGACTTTACAGGCCCCAACTTGAACCCTGTCCTCCTCATTCACGTGAACACCGTGAGAGCCACCCCTGGAGGGCCTGTCCGGTCTGTTCGCAGCTTGTAGGTCATCCTGGCTTGGACAGAAGGCAGTCCTCACCACTTCCTCCCACTCGCTCATCTGTCGGCAAACATTTGCATTTCCCTTCTGTGATAGGTTTCTGCCTCACACAGGCCCGTTTTTGCAGGTCTGACTTCCTCACACCTTGACAGTCGAACACTCTCACCTGTTGAAAACCAAAACACCAAACCCACTGCCAACAAGTCCATGCTGACTCCCAGCCACCTTCTCAGCCAGAGTAGAGCTGTGTGCTTCCTCTGTGTTTCCCAGGAGGTCTTTATGCGAGCTGGGAGTGAAAGATGTCAACCCCTGGCTTACTCAATAGCACAGCCGGAACCCCCGTGTGTGTTGCGCACGGAGGATACAGTGGTGCCTGCTCATGAGGAGATTGTGTTCATGTGGCACTCATGGTTCAAGCCTGAAGGTTGCATGGGAAGCACACATACACACACACACACACACAAACACACACACGGACAACACACACGGAAATCACTGCTGAGCTCCTTTCTCTGTATCTTTCAGGGTCAGGTGGCCACCCCCTGCCCCCAGACCGTGTTTAGGGTGGTGAAATACACACATCAAAACAAACATCAAATCCAATCATTCCTACATGTCCGGGTCAGGGTAGTTAATTGCATGCGTCAAGTCCTGCCACCCTTCACACTGTCCTTTCCGGAGTTATTCCACCACCCCTAACATAAGCTCGATGCCACAGGCTCGCTTCATCAGGGAGAAAAACACCTTTCCCAGAAAAGCCCCCGCAGACTTCCTCTTAGCTCCCACTGGCCAACATGGCATCCCACGCCCAGGGCCCAGGCCCAGGCCCTAGCTGTCAGAGAGGCTGGGGAAATAAGTCTCTGGCTTTTCTAGGAGGAGGCGTTTAGCGCTCAAGATGTGGTGGGACGTGATGGGTGTTGGGGAAGCAACAGTGTCTGCCATTTCCAAACCCCCACTTCTCAGGGATGTCAAACCCCGAGGTGATCCGGGCCTTGGAGCGTGGGTACCGGATGCCCCGACCAGAGCACTGTCCCGAGGAGCTCTACAACATCATGACTCGCTGCTGGAAGAACCACCCAGAAGAGCGGCCCACCTTTGAATATATCCAGAGTGTGCTGGACGACTTCTACACAGCCACTGAGAGCCAGTACCAACAACAGCCATGAGGGCCGGCCCAGCGCAGGACTGGCAGGCCTGGTGCCTGGGACGTGGCGCCAGCAACGGTCCACTGTTGCCGTTCACCCTCGCCTTGACAGCACCTCTCTCTGCAGCCACAGTTTCTGCATCTGTCGAGTGGATGGGGGGAACCGAACAGTATCTTTTCAACTCCCAAAGCCCACAGGCTGCTGTTCCCAAGTTGATAATGCCTGGGACCATTGGATTTCAGTCACTGCGGTGGTTTGAATGCTAAACCTTAAAAAAATAAATAAATAATGAAGTAAATATTTAAATAAAATAGATGAGCGCCAAAGACATGTTTGCTTTCTCATTCGCCTCGCTTCCAGATTCTGTCTGTCTGCTTGTCGTACAACAAGTCAGAGAGGCGGCAGGGCCCGCCCTCCCCGAGACCAGTCGTGAAGAGTGGGCCCAGTGTGGGAAGTCTTCTAACTGCACTACAAGAGAGCGGGCTGAACGTATTTCTGATGGCTCCTGGAACATATTGCCAGCCGCTCTGAGGCTTCAAACCATCTAAGTCTGTGCGAGTTCTCAAAGTCCACATTGGGTGGGCAAGACTGCATTCCTACTGGAAGCTGAGAGAGAGAAGTGGTGTCTTTACATTTCCAGCCTCTGGAGGTTACTAGTATTGACTCCAGTCCCCTCCCTTGCACCCCTCTGACCTGATCTCCTCTTCTTCCCTGTCTCATCTGCTTCCTTCCTGTCGCTATGGAGACTCCTGTGGTTACAGCGAGCACACCTGATCATCTGTTCATCCCAAGATCATTGGGTAACACATTCTCAGGTTCTGAGAACATCTTTGGGCCGAAGGGATTATTCACACTGACCCTGGGACACTGAATTTATGTGTCTGTGTGTGCCCAAAAAAATCTATGTGTAGTAATTCATAACCCTTATATCGGTGTGTGATAGGTGTTTCTTTGTTGTGTTAACAAGGGACATGCCAATCGAAGGTGTATCTTAAACTGATCACTTAACAATTTTTTCAATTGTGTTTTGGGTGAAAGTTTACAAAGAAAATTAATTTTCCATTCAACAATTCATACCCACTTTGTTTAGTGACCTTGGTGGAAATCCCTACAATGCAATAGCACTCTTTCCACGTCCTCCCTTGTATTTGTCATTTCCATTCATTTTTCCTTTCTCTCTCCTGCCTTCTGAGCTTCATCCCTAGGCAAACACTGCTGTTTGGATCGCATGTACCTCCCTAATGACACTGTTCACCTTCTAGGCCTATTGTTCGACTCGAAGTTGAGTCACTGGGGGGAGTTCGGCTCCAGGCCGGCTGTGCCATAGTCTCGAGGGCTCTACCAGTCTCCGTCAGACCGTAAGACTGATCATCTTTGTGAGTTTGAATTTTGTTCTACACTTTTCTGCCACTCTATCCAGGCTCTCCCCATGTGATCTCTTTCAGAGCACTCAGCAGTGGTAGCCAGAAACCATCTCGTCCTTCCTGTCTGGGGGTCACAGAGGCTGGAGTTCACATGGTACAATCATCCTTTGGGCTAATTGTGTCCTTACATCTTTGATTTTAATGACTCTTCCTTGCTCCAGAGGGGGAAGAGATCAATAAATACACCTTAGATGGCCACTCACAAGTTTGTAAGACTCCAGTTTTTACTCAACCAAAGCAGGATGTAGAATACTGCCTTTGTGAACTATTTTGTGGTGAGCTTAGTGTCAAAAGACAATATCTTGAGCTGTTGGGTCCAGCAACTCATTCCCTCAAGGGTTCTGGTCATGGCTAAGAATTGTTCATCACTTTGTTCCCTGTAGGCTTTACTGTGTTCCTGGATATATTTGCAGTACATACAAATACATATATACAAAGGTCCTCTATCAAATGTGTGTAATCCCATTTGCCTTCTCACTTCTATTCAGTTTTAGTGTATGTATCTACTTGTATATCATTGTTATTACTGTTATTGCAGGATTGGGTATGTAATATTTGCCTTTTTACCGTCAACTCTTGTTGCACGGGGTTTTGTCACTAAAGAATCAGGGCTGCCAGGATGCTGGACAATAATTTCTTGTAAGCTAGGCCGCAGACTTTCCTGCCAGGCAACACTGCAAGGGGGAGTGGGCAGTGGATCTTGACTGCCTACAGCCCTAACATGCCCCACGGGGTCATGGCTACCATGGTGGGTCTAGGGGCACGTGTGTCGGTCTGGGTTCTCTGGAGGAGCAAAACTAGTGAGGTGGATATATAGTGAGAGAATTGCCTCAAGAAAATGGTTCGTGTCATTGTGGGGGCTGGAAACCAAACTTAACTGCCACTGAGTCCATTTGACTCATAGTGACCCTATGGACATAGACCTGTCCCTGTGGCTGTATGAGGCTGTCCATCTTCCCAGGAGCGGAAAGCCTCATCTTCCTCCTGCAGAGCAGGTGGGGGGCCACCGAGCTGGTTAGCAGCTCAGCGTGCACCCACTTCCCCGCAGCCAGACGGTCAGATGAAGACCTCTGCTGACTTACGTGGCTGCAAGGGAGGACGGGCCCAAACTATGCCCACCAGGCAGCAAGCGAGAGGCCATGCTGGCTCCTGGGGTCTTTCAATGCTGCAATTCAAGGCTTGACTTTTTCCTTTTGTTCTTTCAGTTTAAGATATGCTGAAAATAAAAAAGATGCTGAGCATGTTTTTCCTTTTTTCATTTTCTAACGCTGTCTTTGCACATTGTATTGTCACACGGTACTTTGCTTTGTCTTCTCAAACTGCCAAATTTCCTGTTCAGCGCTTCGTCCTTTCTTCCACTTGCCTGAGCTACGCTACAATTAAGAGCAAGTTCAGAGTCTCTTCTGACAGCCCCTTTGATCTTTTCTCTCTCGCCTGTGTTGCATGGCCTTGCCTTCTCTCCGTGCAGGCTGTGCTGGACGTCCTCCCACCGCTCGTCAGGTCTTCGGCGTGCCATTCCTTTGCAGCAAGGCAAATCTGCTCTTGAGATGTGCTTGAAATTCAGGTGGGATGGACTCGAGGTTGCATTTTGGCTGTCAGGAGCTTGTTTTAATTTTCTGCAGCTGTAACCCGAGTTTACTTATGCGCAACTGATGTCTCTGTTCCGTAGCTGTCCCCGGTCTTGTTTGAGCTTCTCTTCCCACCGGCGTGGTCCACTTGATTTCTATGGAACCCATCTGGAGAAGTGCACGTGTCTAGTCACTACTGGTGTTGTTGACAGAAGGTATTTGCAAGGAAGAAGTCATTGGTCTGGTAGAATTCTATCATTTGATCTCCAGCTTCATTTCTACCACCACGACCATCTTCTCCAATGACTGTGCTTTCCTTTTTTGTTCCCAACTTCTGCCTTCCACTCGCCATTAATTAGCGATGCATCTCGATTGCATGCTTGATCAATTTCAGACGGAAGATGTTGGTAGAATTCTTCAATTTCTTCATCACCAACTTTAGTAGTTGGTGCACAAATTTGAATAATAGTTGTATTGACTGGATTTCCTTATATGTGGATAGATATTATCCTATCACCAACAGCATTGTACTTCAAGATAGACCTTGAAATGTCCTTTTTGACAATGAATGAACCCATTCCTCTGGACCTTGTCATTCCCATTCTAGTTAACCATATGAACGTCTGATTCAAATTGGCCGGTACCAACCCGTTCATTTCAGCTCACGAATGAGTTCCAGTTAATTTTTGACAACTTCCAATTTTCCTAGATCCATATCTCGTACATCCCAAGTTCCGATTATCAATAGGTGTTTGCAGGTATTTCTTCTCGTTTTGAGTCGTTCCCCAACAGCTAATGAAGGCCATACTCCCTCCATGTCCTTGTGGTCAACGCTCCTCTGAGAAGGCCGCTCTTACTCTTGCTCTCTGACCTGAGAGGTCATCTCCGGGCACCATCTCTGACAAGGTTCTGCTGCTATTCATGAGCTCTGTAGTGCGTGACCACGTTTCACTGTGGTTTAGTAGGTTCTCCGTGGCTGATTCCTCGGAAGTGGACCGCTAAGTCCTGCTTGGTGCTCTGTCCTGAGTCTATAAGCTCTGCTGAAACCTGCTCACTTTGGTGACCCTGCTGGTGTTTGAAACAGCAGTGGCATACCTCCAGCATCACAGCAACACACAAGCCACCACAGTACGACAAACTGACAGACACATGATGGCACGGGATTGCAGAGACTGTCAAATCCAAAATCTGCAGGTCAGGCAGCAAACGGAAGGCTTCTGTAGGCTTATGTGCCCCCAAACCAGAGGTCAGGCAATAAAAATAGTGCAGGTGGGGAAAGAGAAAGCCTTGTCCTAACATCCATTACATAATGGAGGAGGGACATGCCCCCAAGGGCATTTCCATTTTAGCTGATTGGTCAATCCCATCAGAAAAGTTACATTCTATTACAGTTTGGAAGAATAGTCAGTTTAGTGTCTGCACTGAGAATCAGTCTACCTCAACTGACATCCCACATTAACCATCACAGATAAACACTTTGTCAGCTGTGCACTTATACACAGCTCCTTAAACTATACATAATCTCTAACTACAGATCATTATAAAGCCATGTTATACCTAACATGATACAACTAACATGCATATAACTGAAAGTGTGCTGGCTCCAGTTACATCTTGCAGTTGGCACGGCAGGGAAAAAAACAAAAGCTTGTGTATACACTAACATGTAACCAAAAAAAAAGAACGATTCAACAATTAAAGTCTTCATGTCTACAGTGGGTCACATGACTGTAGCTGCTATACAAAACTACCTTCTATTCACACCCAAATGTGGGCTCTCTGACCTCCACAATCTAAAGAGGCCCACCCAACATGGTGCCTCCTTTTCAGTTATGTGTTGAGACCGGTGCAGGGGCTTACCCTTCACTTATCAGGCATATCTTGACATGCTCCACATCACTGGACCACGAGGAATTTCAGAGGCGGAAGGCGCCTGAATTGCTGTTGGATTAATTTCTCACCCTCTGGTTCCCAAATGTTTTACCCATATGGCTAGAGTTGTTGATCCTTCCTCCTTACTGGGTCCAATCAGCAGACTCTGTATCAACAGTGTAAGGGGCCCGTGTAATGTGTAGCATCCAGTGGGTGGGAGTGCTGAAGAGTTTACATACTTCTGAAGTAGGACAGTGATGATGTATTGCTGGACTTATCGGTTGAAGACAAACTGTTTCTGGTGGTCTTTAGAAACAGGCATTGAAAAACCAGGCATTGGCCAGCTCATTAGCTGCATACCAGGTACTAGGAGATGTATTGGTTTGTTCAAACAAGAGAGCCCCATCTGGAACAACAGCTGTGACTGGAATTACCACCTAACTAAGTTTAAAAC